GGAATCGGAATCAGAATCGTTCAAATTCAAACGATACCCAACCCTACTCACCGCTCCCTTAATTTCTCCGCCCCCAAAATGCACAAACACGCAATGCAAGAGTGGATGTCTCTTTATTATAGCTGAAGTGAATGAATGAATGACAAGGCAGAAGATACAGCACACAAGAGTATATACATTACAAGCAAGGGTTTGTTAGTCGCCAGCAGCACAGCAGCTCCAGACAAACAATGGGACTCAATCCTGTCCCGTTACTGGAGATAAACTGAATATCTTGGTTCTGTGAAACTTAGCAAATCCAATCAATAGCAAAGTCACTCACATATGAAGCAGAAACAAGAAAGCGCTGGAAAGTTTGTTTTATAATAACGCGGGTGCTAAAGCTCTTGCCTGATCATAACCCTTCTTTTTCCTTCTCTCTTTTTTGTAATGTCTCTCAGCCATCTCTCTTTCTACAGTCTTACCTGAAATCTGTCTCTTGCTCATTCTCTCTCTCCTCCCCATCATGAGTGGACACGCCCCCTGCTGCTGATTGGCTACAAGTGTGCTGTGCTGCTCTATTCATATTCAACAGCATTTCTCAGAAATGTTCCTTTTTAGATTCATTTTTATGTACTTTATTTTGACACCCCTGCCAGAAATGATTTTCATGCTATTGCCAATAACCAATAAATGGCTGTTTTGTATATTCTATACAGATTTATCTCAAAAATAAAATACTATAAACTTAAACTAAAAAGTGAATTTAGGCCACAAATGATGTTACTTCTACATTATGATATACAGTACAGAAAATTTGAAAATATTCATTTTGATGTTTGCTAAAGATTACTTTTACCAGTATTATTTATTATGCATTATTTTTGTAAATTGTTTTTAGTTCATTAGTTGACAAATAAATATATATGAGTGACTGTCCTGCTGTCTTCTCTAGGTGCAGGACTTTGAGGTTCTGGTACAGAGATTTAAAGCTGACCTACACACATGTGTGGAATGCATTCAGGACCCAAAAAGACTGAAGGACAACGTTCGAGAGCTCTATAAATGTTACGTTCAGCCATCAGATGTGGTAAGCTCAAGGGTTGTTATTCATATTTCGGTTTGTTTTGACCTCCACTGAAGCCAGCTTGTGTGGTGTTTGTCTGTAGGTGGAGAAAGTGGCAGTGCACACAGATATGCAGTGGGAAAACAACAGACAGAGGGAGCACTATGAGAAGATCATCGCTACTATGAAAAAACAGATTAACAGAGATGCAAACATGTCTGAGGCCAACAATACGAAGCTCATGAAGGTGAGAGGAACAATATGACCGTGTGGAAATGAGTATCTTCAGTCTAAATAGGACACATGCATGTAGAAATCAAGCGTAGCGTGTGGATTTCTTGTGGGCCGGATTTTCCTTAAAGGAGTAGTTCACTTTAAAAAAACTTTTGCTGATAATTTACTCACCCCCATGTCATCCAAGCTGTCCACGTCTTTCTTTCTTCAGTCGAATAGAAATTAAGGTTTTTGATGAAAACATTCCAGGATTTTTCTCCACATTTACTGGTAACCAGACGGTTCAAGGTCCAAATGAGAGTTTCAGTGCAAACTGTTCAAAGGGCTTTAAACGGGCTTTTCCAGACAATGAATAAGGGTCTTATCAAGCGAAACAATCGCTCATTTAAAAAAAAAAAAGTTTACATTTTATGAGCTCAAATTGTCACAGCCGGTTGAAGTGAACAAGAGAGTAGTCCCATTTGCAGTATTTATTAAAAATACAAACTACAGAAACGTGAACTCAGGCACAAGAAACAAGATTAGGTCAGAACAACCAGCTCACAAAGACTACACAAGTCACACAACATGATAACGAGAGGGTCAAACACCTGGGAAGAGTATTAACACGCAGGGAACAATTTACTAAGAACATTACAAAACCACAAGACTAAACACATGACCAAATGAACCCAAAGAAACACAGAACTAAACACGTGACACAAATGGTCGCCTTGCTCTGTCCTGTTCGAACTCGTTCATCTAAATGAACGTCTCTTTTTCAGAGTCAATTCGTTCATTTCGTTCATTGAATGAACCAAATGACACGAAAAAAGATTTGTTCATCTTTTCGACCGAAGAAAGTGAACTACTCCTTTAAGTCACTGTTGGTGTTTGTGTGCAAGTTCTCACATGTGCCATCTGTGTCCAGCACAACGGAGTTCTTATAAAAGAGATCAATGATCTGCGTCAGGAACTGGGCACACTCCGAACGCAGCTGCACATCTACGAGAGTCAAACCAACAAGAACACCAAGGGCTCTGCTAACACAAGAGGTGACCCATGTTGACTTGAAACTGATGGTTTTGGTTTTGCGTTTTGTACATCTTTACAAATGTTAACCTTTCAGGATTGAAACAAAATGCCACTGGATAATAATGGACCAACTCAGATGTTCATGTTGGAAGTTCTCAGCTGCTTTTTTTCTGTCATGCTTCAGGTACAGCTTCAGCGGGGAGGGCTGGCTTGGTGACGGAGCAGAGTTTTGAAGAAACTGAGAAGATCATCCAGTTTCAGCGACGGGAGATCCATAGACTCAAGCTGGAGATTCTCGGTCAGACACCCACATCCAGTACAAAACTACCACCGCTTGCCAACTGAATGTACTTCTTGCTCTCCATGCCTCAATAAAGTGTATCAAATATATGTCATATGGGTGTTATTTTATGAAACGACGGAGAACACGACAAAAACAGATTCAAATAAATGTTCCAGATATTTTTAACTTGGGGTTTGAATGAATTTTGTGTATGAAAGAGGGTTATGAAGAATTTGAACGCAGAGCAATTTCTAAATGATCACCCATCAATCGAATAGCTTCACGTGTAATTTAAAAATCCGTAGAAACTCATTTGTTATTATTAAATTTTTTTTTGGAGTTTAGGGGTCTTTTATTTTTCAGTGATAAACGATCCAAACGTTCAGCCTGAATATTTTTTATATGATGAGCTTGAAATGTAATAAAATGACTTGGAAAGTGACAGAAATTCGTTGATTCTGTTTTGTGATGCAAGGAAATCTCATAGACAGTATAAGAATTGGACAGAGCCATCTCATTGGAACTCAATTGAGACAAGCGAAGCCCATTTTTAGCGATTTTTTTTAGGACTTCCGTTCCTGACGCGCCCGACTCAAACAGAGCTTGACGACGTAGATGTGACGTGAGCAACCGGTCTGTCTTCTAGTGGCTGTGGCATGAGAAATCTGAATCATTCCCTTCCGAAACTTGCATAGGCAGAGAGTGTGAGTAGGAGCTGTCCATGAGCTAGGAGCAGGAGAAACTTTTGCTAGGTATTCTGATAAATTATTATGTCATTTTGCCCCCACGTTTCCTTGCACAATGGTAAAAGAGGGACATGACAACATTAACATGGTAAATTAAGCAACCGCAACCCAGTTTTTTTATTATAATAAAGCCAGAACATGTTTCATTTTTAATACTTCAGAAAATCACTAGCTACCAGTAGCTTTCCTCATCAGACTGAAGACTTTGTCATTGTCCTTCATTGTCCTTACACTTTATATAAAGGGTTAGTTCACCAAAAAAATGAAAATTATTCCACAATTTATTCACCCTCGCCTCAAGCCATCCTAGGTGCATATATGACTTTGTTCTTTCAGCCAAACATAATTGGATTTTATCCCTATATTAAAAATATCCTGGCTTTTCCAAGCTTTATAATGGGAGTGAATAGTGAACTGTGATTTTGAAGCCCAAAAAGCACACCTATTCATCATAAAAGTAATACGGCTCCAGGGGGTTAATAAAGGTCTCCTGAAGCAAAGTGATGCTTTTTTGTAAGAAAAAATAATCATATTTATTACTTTATAAACAATAACCACCGGCTTCCGGTAATGCCTATACCCGAGTCAACCTCTGACCCGACACAGAAGGTCCAAGCAGAAAAGGCTTTCTGTCCTGTTTTTTTCCAATTATTCTTTTTCTGCCCAACAGTGTTGTAGTCGAGACCACCTCACTCGAGTCCGAGTCGACACCGAGACCAGAGAGAGTCGAGTCCGAGTCGAGTCCGAGACCAGAGACGGTCGAGTCCGAGTCGAGTTTTTTTACTGAATTTACTTAGAGTTTAAAAAATATGATCAGTTTAGGGTAAAAAGGCCACATAGTAGGTGGTGTTAAAAGTAATTTTATTACAATTTGTCATGCGCAGTTGCGCACTAGAAAATCACCAATCACTGGGCGTGTCAATCAATTTAAAGAAATATTTTATTAACATACATTAATAATCATGAAAAATATTTTTAATTGAACTCGAGTGGACTCGGGAATAAGTCCGAGTCCTAAAAAAAAAAATGTCCAAATGCACACGAGTCCATGACAAGACCAAGACCATTAAAATATGGTCTCGAGACCTAGTCCGAGACGAGTCCGAGTCTCGAGTACTACAACACTGCTGCCCAACAAATGTCTGGACATTAGAGATTGTAAGTTGTAGGGATCTCAAACTTGGTGAGATGGCACAAAATTTAACTCTTGAAACAGAAGGGCAGCCGCCGCTCGTCTGTACATAAAATATTCATCCAAAGACTTCTATGTAAACTGAATCTATAATAAATTGTAAATATGTTCAACATTCTTAAATACTAGTTAGATTCTACTTTAAGTAGTTAAGTGAGCAGGATATATTAAAATTTATGGCACGGCTCCACAGCGTATGAATTTCCTAGATTCGATACAAATGAGGTTTATGAAGAATGATGCCACACATGCTTTTCTGGACAATCAGCACATATAAACACTGAGAAGAGTGGCTCTATTGTTGCTGAGGCGAAGTAAACTTATGTCATGTGAGTGACACCATCCTTATAGTCACAAAACATCCATTATGCTGCAAGCGTGACATCAGAGATTCACTTTGTGGGATGTCCCTCCAGTCGGCCTATTGTCTTTCCCACAATGCCTTGAAAGACATCCTTGCTTTTCAGTGTCAGTCAGTCTGCCTGCTAAGTGCACACATGCGTGAGTGTGAGCGCTTGTGTGTGTTCTCCATTTGCGGACATGCTGTTTAGTGTGTCGTAAAGAAGACAATGAGAAACCTCTTATTGTCTTGGTGGAATGTGGCAGAAAACAACGGGGAAAGTATGTCATCGCCCCGAGTGCTTGGCACCAATGTCCAGTCAGCTTGCGCTGTGACACAACACAGAATGAGAGAGACAGGTAAACAAAATGACAAAGAAAGAGAGATGTGACGGTTACCAGTCCTGCACTGCAGCCAAAGCAAATGAGGATGGTGTGTGTGTGTTTCAGAATTAAGCTTGCTAAAATTTCACTTTCTAAAGCTGAAAGATGAATGAAAGTCTGCTGTTCAGGATACAAGAGGATTACGTTTGGAAATTTGATGATGTTGATTCAAAAGTTTGAATCAAGGATTGGAAGCATGCACTGAGGAAAGGTGAGGAAAATCTCCATTAGTTTTCCATTATCTCTGTGGTTTATAATGATGGATTTTATCATTTCACGTTTCAATAGTATAGACTTTATTTATGTAATGGAGGCATAGGTAAAGTTGTTTACCTTGTTTACCATTTATTTAGCATTTAACTGTTTTAAGACACTTGTTTTACTAAAGTAAAAAGGTAGATTGAGTTGTTATAGAGACATTGTAAACTGGCAGTGTCTCTTCACAAGTTTTCTTAATGCTTTTTACGGTTGTGTCGCAATTGAACCTTTATCATTTCAGATTGCAATTGTTCCTATAATTAATCATATATACTCACAAACTCATGAGCTTTGAAGGAATTAACTGAATTAGAGTGTTTACTGAAATCTGTCTACTGAATTAATTACAAATAAATAGCAAATGATGCTTTTTAAATCAATTATATATATATATATATATATATTTATTTATTCAATTATACAAATATATATATATATATATATATATATATATGAAGAGTTCAGATGCAAAAGCCTCTAAATGCCATTTGAAAATTGCTTCTTTAATGAAGATTTTTATCAAACTTGTATATTTAAGTTCAGTAATTTCACTTAAATAACAATTAATAGGTAATTATCATTGTCATTTAAGTGAAATCACTGAACTTAAATATACAAGCTTGATAAAAATGATCATTCTAGAAGAAAATTTCAAATGGCACTTAGAGGCTTTTGCATCTGAACTCTTCATATATAAATTATAAAAAAGAAGACTTTCATTGTTTTGCACACTGTTTTGCAACAAGTTCCATAAATAACAAGCTGCATGACTAAAGGCTCGATTCCCGATAGAAGTTTGATGGAGAACAAGAGTGAGCACAGAAGATGATGTTAAAGTATGAGTAGGAGTGAGATGTGCAGAAGGTCATATAAGTATGAAGGGGCAAATTTATTGTAGTGCCTTGTTAGAAGAAAGAAATTAGAATGAATACAATTTTTAACCCTGAGCCAATGCAAGTGTAGTATGGGAGCAATGTGTTATGTTTGGAGAGAAAATTTGATGGCAGGCCATAAAAAAACATTACAGTCATCAATACAGGAATTGACTAAACAACAAGAATCACAGTGCTCTTTACCGAGAGAGCCGGACGAAGTTGATTAATATTACATATGTGGAAATACTACAAACGAATGACACTGTTTATATGGGCTTCACCTTCAAATGATAAAGTAATGTCAAAGATGACACCCTAAACTTTTAACCTGTTTACAAACAAACACTGGAAAATTATCAATATTCACAGAGGAACATTTATATTTGGCCAGATTGGTTTTTTAACCAACAAGTTTTTCAGTATTAAGTTTAAGAAGATTTGATGTGAACCACTCTTTAATCTTAGCTAAACAATCTGAGAGGATAAATAGGGAGAATGTTTTGGAGGACAGTCAAAGTTGGGTGTCATTGACATAACAGTAGAATTAAATACCAAATTTCCTAAAAATATTACCAAGGGGTAAAAGATAAATACAAATAAAAGAGGACCCAAAACTGAGCCCTGTGGAACACCAGGTTTAATGTATGAAGGCTTTGGTCTAAACTGCTTTTACAAATTGAGTACGACCTGTAAAATAAGATCAAAACTAAGTCAAGGTGTGTGTGTGTGTGTGTGTGTGTGTCTGGCCTATATATACACACATTAAATATTTACAACTTTTTTTTAAATACATTTTAAGTTAAATGTGATTTTTTGGTAAATCTACTTACAACTAATAATAATAATATAATGAATATACTTATAGATTAATGACAACCTAGATACATAAATGCCTTAAACTTAACTTACGTTAATGCATTGAACCTTTTTGTAAAGTGTTCATATGTCTGACCAAACAGCAAACCGTCAGACGACCCTTGAGATGGAGCTTCTCCCTCTAAGTGTGATGAGTCCTGGAGCTCACCTTCATCTACAAGCAGACCCTTCATGGCTCCAGCGCCAAGCCGTGGAGGACCAGGTGGAACTGTGGTGGTTCAAAAAGCCGCACGTCTCTCTTGTGTGCTACTGCTTTTCAGTGGCCATGGTTCTGAGCCTGGGCTCGGCTGGCGTGGGGCTCCTCTCGACCGCCTCTTCTGCTGTTGGGGCCTCGGTGCTGTGGCGCTTGGGCGTAGGATCTACTCTCTGTCTCCTGGCTCTGGTGGTCCTCATGAAGCAGCTGCTCAGCTCTGCTGTGCAAGACATGGGCTGCATACACAGCCGCAGACGCATCGAGCAGCTGCGGAGTGGAGGAACGGCAGATCCCGTGCTGTTGCTCTTCACTGGCCTGGCGCTGGTGGTCTGTGGGACTACGCTTCTCAGTCTCACTAAGTCAGACATGCTGCTTTCTGGTGTGACCCTCCTGGCCAGTGGGGGCGCTGTGGTGCTAGGTGTGATGGCATATGGGGTGATAGTTTATGTGCAGGGAAAGAGAAATGCGAGAAGGCGAAGACGACGGAGGCGGAGAGTGTATACAGTGACGGGACAAAGGAACCATCCATGGAGGGATTCAACATCCAGTCACACTAATTTGTTATGAGAGATAAATTGGGAATTCCTTCTGCCCCTGGTTCCTACGTGATGATAAAACGTATTTGCACATATTGTTCTGTTAATTACTCCTGCAAAATAAATGGCATCATGTATTCCCTGCAGTTTGTCTAGAAAACATCGTTGACAATCAAACACCTCCAAAGCAAATAATAGCATTGCCATTTCTTGCTTAATGTGTATTTTCTGAGCGCCAGGCAATGGAACGCTCTTAGTTGGAAGTCAAAGACAAGTCGGAATATCCCATATCCATATGGAAGAATTCTTTATGGAAACCAGTATGTGCAGTATTACAATAAAGCAGACGCCTTTGAATACTGCATCCCAAAATGCAATGCATTCAATTTCACCGTCCATCAGATGAATTCTGCCCTACTTCTTGCACTATTGGGTGGCAAAAAAGTAAGTGTATGTTGTTGTTCACATGAAGTGTGTCATTCCACACAGCTGTCTCAGTCCAAATAACACCAAAAATCATCAGCTATTTCTTCACACGTTCGAGAGTAGAAATGAAACATGCACACTTTGCTGAATAAATCTATGAAAACGATACACAGTTCTAAAATATTAGAGGTAGCCGACATGTGATGTAGTTTAGCTGTAAAGTAAATTGTGATGCACTCTTCATAATTATGTTAATTCACATGAACTAAATAGCTACATTCTAATCAAATTTTATGCTACGCAGTTATTGTAAAATCTATGTAGGCTACATAAGCATCTTTGTTCTAAGTATGGAAACGACAGAGGTTGCATCCTACTTATTTTAAATAAGCAATTACTTCAAGACCGCTAAAAAAGTATGTTTGTGTGTAGTGTAATCTGGACGTATTCGCCATGTTGTCATTATCATGTGACCTATCGTTACATACGTCACTTATTCACCGTCATTCATAAATCCTCTCCCTTGTCCTCATGGGATAATAAAGTGTCCATCAGAATCTCGCCGTAGCATGTCCTCTGCTCTGGGTAATTTTTGCCTACACTTTTATACTGTGAATACTGTGAATTCAGACACTTTGGTCACATTCTGTTTTCCCCCAGAAGTATTGATTTCGGATGCAACCAGTGTCTTTTTTCATGTCTGAAGTGCCTATTGCATACTTCATTGAAAAAAAATGTATTTGCCACATTGGCAAATAAAGATCGAATGGTAAACAGTTATTATGGATGGGTCAATTGCATAAATTGGAAGTGTGTGCTGTCATGTGATTTTTGTGATTATAAGAAAACAAATATAAGTGCTGCAAAAAAGATAGAACGAAATAAAAAGACTGAATGGAAGGCAGGATTGGAATAACTGGATAATATAACATCTGACCAAACGTGCAGAGCACACTCATTGGAATATCCCAGAATGCAATGTGTTTGGATTTCCCTTCCATTTCCAATCTGATGAATGTACTGGCACACTACTCATACTATTTATGTGGCAAAATGCCTGTCCTATTCTGAATTCATCCTCTGTCTTGACTTGAAGTGATGCTGTAATTTCTACTGTCTATCTGCGTCTGTCATTTCACACAGTTGCCTACAGATGGTGCAAAAAGCTAAAAGTCTAAACTTAAGTCTATTTACATAGTCTGTATTTATATTTCTTTTCCAGACTAGCTGTTCATTGAACCAACTCACAATTGTTAAATGACTAATGTTACGACTAATTACACAAATTTTATGTTATATTAGGCCTAATTTAGAACTGCCTTTATTGTGAAATATATGTACATATAAAGCATTGTAAGCATCTTTTTTTCCATTAAGTGTGGGAATGACAGTATCTTTTTATTTTTTCATTTGATGAATTGAAAACAAGTTAGCTACCTTTCTTCTACTTCTTCTTTTTAAACAAGAGATTTTTAAAGGAACATCTTGAAAATAAAACAAACAGTGAAGAATGAGCTAAATAATTGTAAGGTAAACAATTATTATGTGTGGATTAATTAGATAAGTTTGAGGTGTTGAGCTGTTGTTTGAACCGTGTGTGATCTTAACAAAACAAATCATTGGGTATTCACTTGAATATGAAAAGTTAAGATTATTCAACAGAATTTGTGGCAAAACTTAATGTTAATTTCCACTAAACATATATTTATTATAATTATTATTATTTTTTTAAATGAGGTACTTACAATGGAAGTGGATGTAGACATTTTTTTTTAGAAATGGGAAGCTTATGCTTTTATAAAAGCACATGTTTATTCTTCTGTTAAAACCTGTGTATTATATGAAGCTGTGTAAACCATCATGTTTACAGTCATTTTCAGGGTTTCATGTGTTATGTGTTGCAATGATGACCACCGGTCTCATGAGATAACTTAACTCTCTATTGAACTAATTATGAAATCACAGCTAGAAAAAAATAAAAGACTTTATATTAAAGGCTAAAATCATTTTCCAAAATTAGTTTTCTGTCCATTAACTTTATTTTTTATTTTTTTAGGTGCCGTCATTTATTACTGACTTTGTCCAATGGGATAAATTATTCTAGGTAAATTGTCTGGAACTTTACACACATTCAAATGCATTTTCACAATCTAAAAAGTAGTGAAAAGGCCTTAGTTAAAAAAAAATAATAATAATAAAATTTTTAAAAAAAGCTTTATTGATATTCTTGTGCTTCAATATTTAATTCAGATCTCACATGTGAAAATGTCAAAAACTTGACACAAATTCAGTGCCTTGTAAAGTATAAAACCATATCTTGGAGTTTCAAAAAGCATTAACTCTTAAACGCCTACCTCGGGTCTTTAGTGACCCGGGACGTCATTCACTTCCCTCTTCAATTATTTTTTTTTTAAAAGTTAGACATCAACTGTCTTAGTATTCCTCAATCAATTCATTATGAACAATACAACAAGAAAAAAAAATGTAAAAGAATACCTGTTTTCCCAAACATTTTTTATAAAAAATGGTATGTCACTAATGACCCAAGGTGTAACAGCATATTTTTTTCTGCTCAACAATAATTGAATCTTCAATGACTGAATAAGTCCAATTCACCTTTATTCCAAAGGTGGCAATGTACGATACATGATGATGGAGTGACATAGTTCCCACAGGCAGAAAACAAAAGAATAGGAAATATCATCAGCAAATGTTTTGGATTATTTGCTTGTCACTGAAGAGAGGCCAATATTGGATCACAACTTCCAATCTGGCATATGTAACAAAATGCAAGTTATTTCCACAATAATCTATAACTTATATTCTTTATCTCTGCTTCTATCCTCATTGATCCTCAACTTCTTCCTTTTTTAGTACATTCTCTCTGTTGTAAGGCTGGACAAACTGGAAGATATCGAGTCGTCTCATTTAAAATTTGAACTCTCTCTTGAGAAATTAATTAACATCCCCATCCAAGACGAAAACACAGTTAAGTCAATCAGTGTTGTCTAAATTTACATTCCTTTCCCTTCCCCCATCTCTTCTATCCACATGCTGAAACCATATGAAATTCATATGAAATTAATTGTGAACAATTATCATGCAATACTATACATGTTTGGTATCATTTGAAATGTGTGAGGAGATGGCGTGGTGGAGGGATGCTGAAAACTGTCGAGGAATATGGGTCGACTGTGTGTATTTATAGGCTTTACTTGTGCTGATTGAGTGGACCTGTTGATTACTGATTGCTGACAGCTGGCTGACTTGATTGTTTGAGCATTAGAACGTGTTCCTCCCGAACCTTGTTAATAAAACATCAATTAATCAAAATAACTTCTGCTCCCTCTTGCAGCTCATTCTCTTCTCTTCTCTGATGATGTTTACTGGTGTGAGGGCGGGGCAACCTGTCAAGCACATGACATCACAGCAATAACAACCATCCAATCAATTCACCATGGACAAAATCACGTCCCACCCTAAATTTGTTTGTTTGATCAACCGTTGTATATATACAGTATATATATATACATGTGTGTGTGTGTGTGTGTCAAAATATGGAGAATGCATATTCTTTGAAGAACAATTTATTTGAAATAGAAATGTGTAACAATATGACATCTTTACTGTCTGGGTTAAAAAAATACATTTAAAAAAAGGCCATAGTAATTCAAAACATTATGGGGACATAGCAAGTACAAAACCAGTTTATATAATTTCTGGAATGACAAGTTCATCATCACTGTCTTCAGAATCTTCCAGTTGGTTCTCCTCTACCTGTTCTATCTCTCTCACACTTGCCTGGATGTAGTTGTCCTCGATGAAGCCATCATCATCATCTGAACTTTCTCCAGTATGAACCATTCTACCCCTCATGCCACGCACTGGCATGTCTCCCTCCAGCGCTCCGTCTTGGTTGAACTGGCTGGCTGTTTCTTGGTCCAGTAATAAAGCGTGACGGTTTCCGGCCAGGCACCATCGGAAGAAACGATATCTCACGGCCATTGCTATGAGGCATCCGACGGAAAGCACAGCAGTCAAAGCACCGAGCACAGAAGGCCAGGTGGAGTTCCCTTCAGGGACTGCTGTTGTGTCTGACCAAAGAGTTTACAGTACATTAGGAATACACAGTTTTTGATGGGAGTGGCTTGTGTCTATATGAATTCACAAAACCTTTCATTGAAACATATTGGAATACTTCTTATTTCAGAGCTTGGTTCACGTCAAGTGTCAGTCAAATAAAAGAATCCTTACCCACACACAGTCACACACATTGAGTTTCCATTTTTAATGAGGACTTTCCTCAGACATAATGTTTTTTATACTGTACAAACATAATTCACATTCAGTGGAAGTTTAAGGTCCAATGCATTGCATGATGTTGAACATTAATATAGCCACAAGTCCCAGTGTGATATGTTTGTTTAATATTGTCTTTTCAGTTCCTGTCATCAAAGCCATTAACCTAGAGGATTCGACTTGAATTACATTGATGTGTAACCAAAGAATTAAGCTAGTATTCCATATGGACCAAATAAGTTATTGTCTATAAAAATCACAATGTTTTGAACCCAGAACATTATTGTTTAATTATTACGGTGCTGATTTCAAGAGGTGTAATGTGTATGCTTTATTTAAAAAATAAATACTAATGCTCGATTTTGGTACTGTCATCAACTTCAATAAGAGGTTGATTTGCATTTTTGTATTTTAATATAAAATTGTAATAATTCTAGAAGAAAATTTCACATGGCACTTGTGAAATGGAACTCTTGGAACTCATGGAACTCTTCATATAGCTATATGCATGTTTTATGTTTGACAGGGTTAAACAGTGATTCAGTAGATAATGTTTGTTACCGTTTAATACCAATAAACAGCCCATTCTCACCCCCAAGGCGTCACTTAACTGCCTTGGGAAGCATTTGGACATGCTTCAATATCTGACGCTTTAGGCGCCCTTTAGCGTCAGTTAGATGACGCCCTAGGATCGCGTGTACCCTACCCCCACCCCAGACCGAAACCTAACCGCGTCCTCTAACTGAAGCTTTCCTTTAGCGTCAGTTAGATGACGCCGTAGGATCGCGTCATGTAAGTGACGCTAAAGGGTGCCTAAAACGTCAAATATTGAAGCATGGTCAAAGGTGACGCCTTGGGGTGAGAATGCGTTGCAATAAACGAAGGACATTAAATGGATGCACTAACCATTGTGCTTTTGCTGGGTTTCTGAAGAACTTTCCAGTTGATGAAATTCTGATGAACAATTTACTTGTTTTTCTTCAGAAGTCAGACATTCATGTGCAGACATTGCCATAACCAAATATGTAATTAGAACCATATTAACTCGGTGGTGAATGATATTTCCCATAATGCCCTATTTAGAAGAAACAAAATAATTGTGATATCATGATCATTTTTGTTATTTCCATAAATAACCCTTAGTCTGTCATATCAAATTCCTGATAACAGTCAAATCATTACATTTTGTCTAAATTAGAAATACTAACTAATTTTGAGGCACATAGACAAGGCCTTACTTGATAATACGCTGTCACATGAATGGCATTAATGCTGCCTTAAATACAAGAATGTGAACAATAGTCGTATGGCCATCATGTGATCAATTGAAAAGAAAAATATATTATCATACACTGGTAGTCAAAAACATATTGAAGTAACAGTAAAATAAATAGAAATGTTTTATACATACCTGGTACTTGTTGCAATCCAATAATTCAGTGTAATTGATTATTTTTGCATCATGTTGGAAAAGTGCGGAGTGAATCACAGCGGAAGCATCTTGAGCAAAGGTTGAAAGAGGTGTAACTGTTCAGCGAAGTTAATGGGTAATGTTTATTATCTGTTGACCCATTTCTATTTCCTTGTGTATTTGCTGCTGTCATATGATCTACACTTGACATTTAAATACAGTTCTGGCTTAAAACATAGTCTGTTATAGACTCTTATAGTTTGTAAAAAGTTAAAAAAAAAAAAAAAAAGTTTTCCCTTGTGAAAAAGGAGTACAGTTTACTTTTATAAAGAGTACTTATTATGCAAAATAATATACGTTGAAAAGAATATACTTAAGAGTGAACTGCATGTAATGTTTTAATCTACAGAAACTGCCTTCCAAACTACAGTAGGAGAACCTATATTGCTGCTAGAGTAAGTGTTAATGAGATCAGAAGGGGGCGCTACAAGTTCCAATGTTCCTATATAATATTGGAGATATATGCTAATGAATTGTCCTTAAAGGAGTAGTTTACTATTAAAATAAAACGTTTGCTGATAATTTACTCACCCCTATGTCATCCAAGATATCCATGCCTTTCTTTCTTCAGTCAAAAATTAAAGTTTTTGATGAAAACATTCCAGGATTTTTCTTCATATAATGCACTTTATTGGTAACCAAACGGTTCAAGGTCCAAATGACAGTTTCAGTCCAAACTGGGGTTTAAACGATTCCAGACGATGAATAAGAGTCTTATCAAGTGAAACGATCGCTCATTTAATAAATAAATAAATAACAAATTTGAAGTTTTATAAGCTCAAATGGTCACTCACCTTGCTCTGTACTGTGATGCACGTTCGTGACTCTCCTGTTCGTCAAAATGAACGAATCTTTTTCCGAGTCAATTAGTTCGTTTCGTTCTGGGGGTAAAGTTTAATTTAAGTAGAGTATCTTCTCCAAAAGCGAGATCTTCGAGCAGCCCGATTTCTTCTTTGTGCAGACATTGCAGATACGCTGAGGAAACCTTAATCACTGTCAAAAAAAGGACAACACTTAAGGTGTTTGGGGTCATTTTGACCCCAGACTTTTAAAGAGTGATTGCATAAGGAAATATACATTTTTTATGTGGAAAATTATATATCATTTTTTAAAATCACTTCTCAACTAATCATTTATGCTGTGATTTTTTGGAAGTTTTCTACCTATTTACTGCACAATTACATAACTAGGCCATAAATTGGCACATTAAAATGATTTTTTAAAGAAAAAAAAAACAATTAAATTATGATGATAATTAAATCTAAACAGTTTTTGGACATTGCTCTATGTGTTAGGGATAGAATACTACCATCTGGTGGTTAGTCGAAAAACAGTTTTTCTTATAGTTAAGGAATTAAAGTGCAATGACCACATCTATCCAATAGGGGTCCATAGAGACTCATTCATTTTCACTTCATTTTTCTTGATGCTTCAAATTCTCCTCACAACTTGATATATATGATGCACAACATATTTTTGTCAAAATTAGAGTTTGTTGTTGTTGTTGTCTGATAGATTTTGAATTATTTGTTTTTGCAAATTATTTTACATACATTTGCATAAACATTGCAAGTCAGCATTATGACATGACTATAATCACACAGTATTCATTTCAGAAAATTATTTATCAACAATTATTATTTTTTTTAGAACAAGAGATTTTAGAACAAAATAAATTTAATAAATATAATATAATACAAAACAACAGCACTAATAAACTGTTATGAACAGGATGCATACATGTGTGTGTGTGTGTGTGTGTGTGTGTGTGTGTGTGTGTGTGTGTGTGTGTGTGTGTGTGTGTGTGTGTGTGTGTGTGTATGAGATAGAAAGTTTGTTCTACTTTTTATTTATGCTTTAGGACCAGACCTTGGTTTATATGTGGAACATTTCAGATTTATAATGGATTTACTTTTATTTTTTTGACAAACAAAATAAAAAAGTCATTTTTTTTTCATTTTTCCATTAATTTTCAATTGGGGTCATTTTGACTCCAAACCCCTT